AAATTTTATGTTCTCAGAATGAGAACATAATTTTTAAATATTATGTTCTCAAAAAATGTTTTAATGTTCTCAAGAACATTGAGAACATTAGATTTCCAACACTGATTATAATAACTAAAAATTTTATTTATAGCTTTGAAAGAGATCAATATTCAAAAGCACAAGGATAATTTTTCAAGTATAAAATTATTCAAAATTTATTATTGATGAGATATTCTATTAATTGTAATTTAATTTCAACATAATCTTTAAATTTATGTTTTTTTTAATCATTATTTCAACTTATTCTTTTTTCTTTTTACATTTCTGCTTGCAAACTAATTTGTAAAAATTCTTCAAAACTTTCGGTTTCTTAAACATTGACTTTAATGTATATGTTGTAAGTGGCAACGGAATTTAAGTGGATTCAGAATTTATATATAAAACCACTGTTTGGGGTTGATTTTATCATATGTACACCCTAACCCTAACCCTAACCCTAATTTAACTAGGAAATTCCAAATCCACTTAAATCCCATTCCCACTTACAACATATATATCAATAAAAATAAAAAAATTCTCTAATGAATTTATATATTTTTTAACACTTTCAATATTTTGTTTGGTTGGCTAATAATTACGAAAGATTTAAGTCAGTAATCACAAAAATTATTTAATTAATCTATCGAGGATATATAATAAACATATATACAAATTTGAGTTATTTCATAATCGACGTCTAACAGGATTCCTTTTTGGTCAATGGTTTCAAGACTAATAGAATGATAGTAAATTATGATTGTAACTTAATTTAGTGCGTATAAATCATTTAGCTTACCTTTTGCAAGTGCCTCAATATCCAAGAATTCAAATTACTATTTAAATTATTAACACTATTGAAATCATTTTCCAATTCATCCTTAATTTGTTTTATTTTGTCGACATGATTATTTCAATCATTAACTTGGACAGGTTTCTCTTTCATATCAGAAGTTGCAGTTATCTCTAAAATTTTTTCTGCAACACCATCTAAAGCTTCCTGAAATAAATCTGTCACTTTTTTTATGGTTTCGACAAAGCATTATACGTGATACAAAATACCTTCTAACTGCTTTTCTGAGGCAAAAATACTATCCTGATGGATCGGCAGTATCGATCTTGATGGAGTTACAAAAAAATTTATTTGAGTACTGTTCCTGATAGGATTATAAAAACGAATACTTTTTTCATATACTTCATTATAGTATAATGTTTTAGAGGCCCTCTTTTAAACCCTATTAGGAACGGTATGTAAATCGATATTTTTTCCTACCTTTTCAGAAATGGTACCGACGATCCATCAGGATGGTATTTTTGCCCTTCTGAGCTTTAACAAAAAATTTTTCTTGAGATTTTACATACATTCAACTAAAATCTAATTCCAATATAAACATTAATCTAATCATGAATAAACTTTTCACATGTCACGTAACTAGGACATTCTTCATTCTTCGTCATGGTTTGGATACCAGTCAATAAGACAAACTTCTGCCTATGATGTTTAGATCTATATTGATATAAATCAGCAAATTACATGAATACTATCTATGCCCATATAACTATGTGTAATTCACAACAAAAAGATGGATTATTATATTTAACTTGATCACTAATTCCTTTATACTGTACTTAAATCAAACTAATGAAAAGCATTTAGGGTGTTGCACAGCAAAACCATGCTCGGAACATGAAATAAATACACTCTAAGCATGGTATTGCTATGCAACAATCCATTTAGAATACACGTAACTACCATAGTGATACGGGTCGATGAAAAAATCGTGGGCCGGGTAGATCCTAAAAAAGCTCGGGCCGGTCGGCCGGGCCGACCTTTTTGCTAGTGTAATTTTTTTCTGATCAAAATCAGTCAACATATCTATATTAAATGTGCAAAAAGCCATCATGTAGTTTCTTGTCGGACTCTTGTGATGTAAAAGATTTAAATTTTATTCTTTTTGTCCTTGAGAAAATTTCGGCACGTTAGTATTTTATGTTGATTGATTGTCTATGCCACGAACAATTGTTGGTTGATTGTCTATGCCACGAACATTTCTGATCCTTATATTATATTTGCTATTTGCCAATTTATCACCTAAATAAGCCAACTTCTCTTACATTATTATAAACGACAAGCCGATTTTTATTCAATTTCTAGCCTGAAAATATGCTTAAAAGAGAAATGATTCTAACACTTCTCTTATCAACCGGCCCGGCCCACAAAGGTGCAGGTTGTGGGTCGACCCGCCCATCAACCCGGCTGTTGGGCCGGGGTCGACCCGTATCACTAAACTACCAACAAATTTGAAGACGGTTTTATAAATAAATTCAAAGTATATCCTTTACCATGTTTTATAATAAAAACCTAACTATATTTATTGACTTTTACTAAAACGCACCTATGGTGTTTTACAACTATGAACACATTATCTCAAAAACTAGCTAAATAATCAGTACGAGGTGTTCTAAGTAAAAATGTTCTACACCCTCCAAAACCCTTCCCAAACCTTAATCCTAGCCCTAAATACTAACCATAACGTCAAATTTTGTGTTAAAAATTTTATGCATAAAACTTAGAAAAATCTATAAATATAATAAAAACATATGATAGGTGCCAAACCACCATAGATGCGTTCTATATAATAAATGTAGTTTGTAATTTATATATGCTAGCTTCACGACATGCCCAAATATGCTGTGAAAACAAAAAGCCAACAACGATAACGATAATGATGTGATTAAACCTTGCAAGTTACTGTTGATAACCCAAAAAGAAGACGATTGATTATTTCTTTCTCCATATCATTTATTTCAATTCTTTTTAACATTAAATGTTTCTCTTTTTCTTGCTTCTCATTCTTTTCGCATGATACACTTGACACACTTATCAGACCAATTATATACAAATTCGGGATGAGAATAATGGTTGCTGCATACAAAGGAATATTCCGTTTAAATCCGTCTTTGAAAATCTTTTTACTTAAATCAATTTTGCTATTAAAATAATTTTCCACGATTATTTGGTCCTCGAGCGTAATACTCCAGTCCTTACATCACCAAAAACTTTAGTTATCTTTTGAATTTCCTTATCTGTCTCATTCTTTATCTCATCGTTAATTTCATTCATCTTGCGCATAATTGCTACTAATACTTCTTCTATCATCACTTCCATCCTCTTCTTGACATTATTTGGTTTACTTTTATCATTAAAAATAGTACCAAGAGTCAATGCCTCAGCAATTATTTTTAAATCTCTAGTTATGTTAATATTGTGATCTGGTTTTAATAAAAAATTTATGCCTTTAAAAAAAAGGCTCATCGTGTTTTCATCCATATTTTCATCAAAATTTATACAGCAAAGTGTCAATGTTATAATCGAATTAAAGGTAGAGTTTTTATCATCCATTTCTAAGTACTTCGCGATTTCATCTACTTTATACTTATTATCTCTTATCTCAATTTTTTTTATTGTTTCTAAGTTTTTTTCTATTTTTTCGAACAGGCTTTGTTCTGAACTTGTATCTAAGTTCTTAAGTCCATTTAAAATTTTAAGATCTTCTTCATCTAGCTTTAAATTCTTTACAAAATTATCATCTGAAGCTTTACCATTGTCAATGTATTTCAGATAATCATTTATACTTAATAAAAAATAGAATATAAAAAAATTGAAAGTGTCTTTATTTGAAATAAAATGTACTACTAATTTCGTAATATTCAAAATTTTAGAATGTTCTTTCTACGTTTGGTTTTCTGGATCTTTTCTCTGCTTTTTTAAATCATCCACGGATTTACGTATCTCTTCAAATAGTTTGCCCTTTAAATCTTTGTCAATGTTTGCATTTTCATTTCCACTAGGATGTTTTTCTTTATTATCATTTATTATTTTAACAAAATATTCTTTATAAATAGACTTTAAAAACACTTTTTCCCTCTGGCCTATTTTATTTAAAATCTCCGATTTAAATTTAGTCAAATAAACATTCAAACCTGTCAAAAAATATGTTATGCACTTTACGGAATGGCTCACATCAGTTTTGTCTGGATGTGTACAAAATAAGTAAAAAGCTGCTAATTTTATAATTGTCATAATTTCATCCTTTTTTTCCTCTTTCCTGTCATTGTTTGCTTCCTCTTTCTTGTCATTGTTTGCTTCCTCTTTCTTGTCATTGTTTGGATCATCATTCATCATTTGTAATATTTCAGTTACTAAATCATACGTATTTGCACTGTCCTCATAATCATAAATATTTAGATTGATCTTACTCAATTTTTCTACTTCAGGAATATATAGCTTAGTACAAATGATGATAACAATGACCTCAAGTAGACTAAAACATGAAAAAACGATGAGAATAATGGTCATAATGTGAAAAGTAGAACCTCCAGAATTCCCAGAATTGTTAAAAATGAAAAAAAATATTAATAACAGTCAAAACAATAAAAGAACATGCCATTAAAATACAAATATAGTACGACGAAGCATTATATGATGTATATGTTTCTTAAGTTTTTTAACAAATTTTAAAGGTGAAAAATTTGTTGAATCAAGTTTTCTGGGGTAATTTTGTTTTGAGTTGTCAATTACACTATCATATAATGCTTTTTCAATATCTTTATACATTTCTTTATTCGCGTCTTTATTACCAGAATTATAAAGATTCTTTAGTGACATTAGACTCGTAATAAGAGTTGTAAGACTCTCTACTCCAACGAAAGACGTTGTAATAATCTTTGAAGCTGTTGACTTTATATCATCTTCCTTTGTTGTAAGAAGATAACACCCTATTCCAAATGAAAATATGCATACAGCAGCAGTAATTACTAATCGTCTAAAAGATAAATTCCGAAGCTTCTTCCAACTTTGGACATTTTTGTATAATTTAATGAGATTGTATTTTCTTTCATTCCAAGACATGCGTCGAGTTTTAGAAAGATCGTCAGTCTTAGTCTGTGACTGATTTTGCTCATCAGTTGGTGGGGACATAACTGTCAGATTTTTTTCGTTTGTCTTTTGGATAAGTTAATGAAATAATTCAGAAATGAATATTGAAATGTCTTATATATACTGTATATCTGATATATATATTTTTTTACGTGGTTTGTATCTTGCCTTGAAAGCTATTGTAATATCCAAAATGTCGTAGGATTTTTATGTTGTGCAACCACTGATAGATAAAATCAAAACAGATAATGATAAACAAGAAAGCTATGATAATGTCCAAATTTTGTAGGATCTTCATGCTTTGTAAAACATCAGTAAATCAAACCAACTAAAACTAAATAGAAGATTGATTTACAAAAAAAATTTTTTTTTTAGTTAGGTTCTTTGTGTCAAGAAATTTATCTTAACTGATTGGATAACTTAAAAGTCATTATTGAAAAGAAACTTCGACCTGAGCGTGTATAAACATACCATATATGGGTTACATCCCCGATGGCTTTCGACTTCATTAACAATATATTCCTACAACTAGTAAAATGTTAAATTGTTACTCTATATGATGTCAAGAAATGGCATGTCGAGGAAATGAGTTGGAATTCCGTAATATGCTTTATTTTGAGACAAAGGTTGATATAGGAGACATTTATGCGATTTGCCAATTTACATTGATCCAAACATGCAAGTCATAATAACAGCAATCATTTATGTCAATACTGCTAAAGCTTGAATAAGTACTATTGATTTAACTTTTTTCGAATAAGATGAAATTTTTAGATTTTTTGCACCATACGTAACGTACGGTGCAAGAAATCTAAAAACCATAATCATATTTTATAGTGAAGAAGATGGCTTCGGAATCACCACGTTCTACAATTAAAACACTTAAAATACAAAACTACTTGAAAAAAGGCGTGAAGGATTTGGAAAATTTTTATTAATTTATTATGATCATTTTAGTCTCATTGGGTTCTACCAAAGAATCCGTATTTTTTTACATTTTTACGTGCTTACGTATTACATTTTTCTGACAATACTAAGTTTTACGAAATCCAATTCAACCTATGTATCTCATCCACATTCGTCGCCTAAGGGAAGAAACATGCATACATCTGATGGGGTACGCGATTACGCTAACTTAAATTAAAATCAAATTTTTCTAAAAAAGGAATGATTTTTGTACGTCAGTTTCGTGTTACGTCAATTTTTTTTCATCGACACTTCCTCTTCCTACAATTATCGACATCAATAAAGTTAGGGGATATCTGATTTCACTGTTTACATGTATTTTGCCTCTATGACTGATAATGTATAATTGTAATTTTTAGGTTCTTGCACAGTACAATTAACTTATATTGAATAAAAGATAGCGATCTAAATTTCAGTATTATACTACTAGGTTTTGAAATAGATTAATTAGGCATTATTAATCTATTGTAACCGATAATATTTTCTATGAATATCATAATCATATTCGTCCTGTCATTAAGATATTACTTACCTTAGTGTTTGTAGTCGATTTTGCTTAGTTGATTTTTATCGACTTAGCCAGCTTAATCAGTCGATTGTTCAAAAAGTCGGCTTAGTCGAGATCATACAAAAATTATAATGGCCAAATAAGTTTATCACAATAATTTTTATTTATTAAAAGTTTCAATTTTAAACAATCTATTTTTCCACGTACGTGTATGTAGTGTAATTACTTGTGTACATTGAGAAAGTGTGGGCTACGTCAGAAAAGTTACTGGGTCGATATATACTCTATTCACTATACTAAACTGCTCTAACCAGAACGGGGTCGCATAAAGCCGGGTCCATCCCGTTATTCACGACCAATCAAAATATCCAATTTTTGTTTGCACAGATCAGCCGACGAAGCAAAAAAAGTAAAAAATGTGAAAACTACAAGAAACCAATGTCTAAACCCATCTTGGTACATTAAAAAAAAATGTCGAAGGGACGATTTTATGCATAGAAGCCTTTTAATATTGCCCTAAACCTTAACCTTAATTTAAATTCGCAATGGACCCGTCCATTATTTTTGGAAATACTGGATTTTTGTCAATCTTTCTAAAGGGAAACCAATTCATAGCAAGAAAACTAAAATAGAAAAGAGACAAATATATAATGATAATATAAAAAAAATAAAATAAAATAGAATGACGAATATATATATATATATATAGATAGTGGAACCTTCGCAGAGCCCGTCACAACATGCGTACGGTGCAGGAAATCTAAAAACCTCAATCACTTTATATGAGCGTTGTCAAAAGAAAACCTACAACTCTAAAAATAAATGACTATGATTTTCATAGTAATTTATTTTTAGAGTTGTAGGTTTTCTTTTGACAACACTCATATAGAACAAAAAACCAGCACATTGAAGATAGCTATATGCATAAATCAGCTCCTATTATTAAGTACATATTATTCTTGGCGTATTATTTCTATGCCCATCACTCTATTGAGATTGATAATTTAAGAACTTTATTCTCGATGAGCTACTAGTTTATGCATCATCTTAAAATGAAGATTGGGTTTTTAAATTTCCTGCATCGTACGTATTCTAGATTACGTCGGGTATGGATTAGACTATTAACTTTTTTTATAGTTTGTAGCATCTTTGTACAAGATATCTACAGCCAAAATTTCTTTACTCCAGAAAAGGAAAGTTTCATTCGTCTTTTTTGTAAGAATATTCTAGCTGTTGTTACAATATTGCTATTGCTATTACCATACTAGAGTATGTATTTTTTTTTATCGAATAAGAAAGAAATTTAGATGTAAGTCAAATTTAATAAAAAAATAAACCTCATATTTACATTTTTATTGTTTTTTTTACCTAGACTTGTGAATGTGTTTATGCGTTTTATGTATTATTTTTTTCTTTTCAAATCTTTTATAAAGCAGATAAATTGATAATCGCTGATCGTCAAAGGTAACAGATAGGACCGTCCCAAATAAGGCGCCAAATCTACGAACACTAGGGTGTCCAGGATTATGATTCGACATAATATCCACATAATTCACGTTATCATGCATAAAATATGCGATTTTGCATAAGTTAATGAAACCCGTATAATCGCGCATAATTTAGCCACTCACACGTATAAAAAAAATTTCTATTTGTCAACTTACAATAATGACGTAACTGATCCTAATATCAATTGGACGTAACTCATAGTCATGACGATACTAGGGTTGGTTCGGTCCTGAGAAGACCGGTTAAGGACCGGTCTTTTTGACCGGTTACACGGTCTTCGGTTTTCAGTCTTTTAACAAATTCAGACCGGTTAATGAAATAAACTTATAAACTATTAAAATAAGCTTTTAAACTATTAAAATAAACTTTTAAACAATTAAACAACTATTATTTTATGAATTTATTTCGATAACGACAGCTAAAATTGATGGTATACTCGTGAAAATAGTTTATTTTTAATCCGGGGGACCGAACCGATAGGATCGATAGATACTATTAGGACCGGTCTTATTAGAGACCGAGACGGACCGGACGGACCAATCCAACCCTAGACGATACGTCAAAAAACCTGACGTGTGCCTAGTGATGCGAGCCGATAGGTCGAGGCCAGTCCGGGCCGACCCGGCCGGTGAGAAAGGCAAATCTACCCTTCAATACAAGAATACACTTCAACACCAATACAAACTAACTAAACTACTCTAACCGGAACACCACAACTAATATGAATCTCTTATAAGGCCAAAGAAAAAAGTATTGAATCGAATCTGAATAACT